TTTCATAATATTATGACTTTATTCTTGTAATAATACAACTTTAATCTAGTAATATTACGACTTTAATCCCATAAAATTATGACTTTAATCTTGTAATATTTTGACATTAATCTCTTAATATTATGACTTTATTCTTGTAATAATACAACTTTAATCTAGTAATATTACGACTTTAATCCCATAAAATTATGACTTTAATCTTGTAATATTTTGACATTAATCTCTTAATATTATGACTTTATTCTTATAAAATTACAACTTTAGTCTCGTAATAAAAAAAATCTTGTTGTGTGGCCCTATCACTCCGTACTTTTGAGACTATCTCCATATTAAATGCTCAAAATGACTTTGGACAGTTAAAGTTTCCATTGACTATTTTTTTGTACTTGCGTGCAAACGATTATTATGAGCTCACAAAAAACGATGTGCAGACAAATTGTGTGCACATTGGATTATCTTGTGTGTTCATGTAATGGACATGAGATAGAAAAACAATTCTTAAGGCACTTTAAGGGTTCTGTAAACGGTCGTCAAAGTGGTGAAAAGTTATYATACATAACCTGTTGTTTTTCTAGGCCCTGGGAACTTTGGACTGAGGTTGATCAACTTTGAAATTCAGAAGAACAGTATTTCCCACGAGACTCAAGGATTAAAGGAAAACTGTCTGGTGGTTCGACGAGGGAAACCATTCAAAGTCACTTTGCTGTTCAAAGGCCGGACCTGGGAACCCTACAAGGACAGGCTGGTCCTGGAGGTTTGTTTAGGTATGAAAGACAGACTGTTCAAATTTAAAGCAGTATGAGRCTGAAATCAAAATGAAATTTACAACAATCTTTTTTCCACCGGTGGGCAAAAATGGTGTTTCCAGACGCTACCTGGGGCTATTATTTTGAAAACTAAGGTGTCAGACGATTCCTTTTGGATTTTGTCTTTAGTTTGACCACCTTACAAAAAATAAAAAATGTCAAAAGGCTYAACCTATTAGTGCTTATTTTAAGATGTAACACCTCAGAGTCTACACTGAGTTTTACTGTCTGCAGGGGGTCTGTCACAAAGGATTCCAGTACTTTCTGAGAAACAATCAGCCACACAATGGTCYGCTACRATTYATCCAGAAAAATCAAGYGGGCACTCRGTCACCATCTACATCTGCTCCCCTRTTCTGGCCCCGGTGGCTCAGTACCAGCTCCTGGTCCACATAGAGAACATATTTTCCAGAATCACTTACCGGTACATAGCTGGGACATTTATTCTGCTCTGCAACCCTTGGCTAAAAGGTGGCTCTACRTAATCACACTATTTACTCATTGGTTTTTATTTTGTTGATGAYGTAGTGTCACATCTGTGCCATCGTGTTGCAGATGATCCAGTCTACATGCCACACGATGCTCACATACAAGAGTACATCAAGAGTGACTACGGACTGATTTTCATGGGTACCCCTACCAATGTTCAAAAGAGACCGTGGGTTTTTGGTCAGGTATGCAACGCACAACATGTCATGAACAGGTGCATGACTAAGGCTGCAGCTCAGCTTTATTTGTGTGCAGTACGAACCTGGAGTACTGGATGCATGTCTGCAGCTCCTGCAGCTCAGCAATGAGCATCTTAACAACCCCAACAAAGACTACAAACTGAGAGCTGACCCCGTCTACATCTGCAGGGTGATCTGTGCCATGGTAAGAGGCGACCTTTACGAACACGTACTGCATCCTACKAATAGTTTAATCAAAGCATGCATGAAACTTGTCATTTCAAGTTCCTCTGCAGGTTTTCAGCGTAGGACGCAGAATGTTAATAATGCTTCTCCTCTTAAAGGTCAACAGCAACGATGATCTTGGTATTATGCTCGGGAGGTGGAAGGACGACTACACAGATGGTGTGAAGCCAACAGATTGGAGCGGCAGTGCTGAAATCCTTCACCGGTGGCTCTCGTCCAACTACAAACCTGTACGCTACGGACAGTGCTGGGTGTTTGCATCCGTCCTCTGCACAGGTACTTTGAATTTGCGAAAACCAATTTCCTGCATCAAAGATATCCTTATTGGATTGGTAGTGTTGCCATATGTCAAGCTTTATTGAGCATCTTTGACCAGTC